TTCGTGGAGGCCGGAATGCATCCGTCTGAGGGATGCAAGGTGATGGTGAAAGAGGTTCTGACGCCCTCGGGCAAAAGCGGCGTGTTTTTCAATAAGGACGGCCCGCTGCCTTGGTAAGGGTGTCATTACTCCACTCGAGTAGTTTGTGAGAGGGGCAAGCCTGGGAGCGACCTCGAATTCATACGATATCTGCTAAAACACTGCATGCCCTGGACATGAAGCTGCTGTTTCGTCATCGATGGTGAAAACACCGCAGGAACAGCATAGCCGCGTCCCGAGACCAGGATTCGTTCCTGTAATCGTGTTTGCTCTGCGCATCTCAGCCTTGAGTGCGACAAGGAGGCCAAAACTACGTGAGATAATGGTCGCCTTCGAGTCGGGCTGTCTTCTTTTTAAGCTGCCGAGGTCATTGGGTCCAATTCCCTCAAAGAGGGTTGATGCAGATATCAAGTCTTTGGATTTGACCAAAGACTTGATCATGACAGCGTCACATGTGATCAAGAAGTCACGGCCCACGGGCCACGAGAGAATACTTCTGACGACGTCCTCCACCGTTTCTCGGTCCCAAAAATCGTCTCACTGTCCATAAGAAATGAAGCCACTCACCTTTTAAGTTCCGGTTTTTTCTCTAAATGAACTAATGTTTGATTTCCGAGGCCAGTGAGATTTACTTGCTCTGGTAGTCTGTCACTTGTGCGTGACCTCATATCACCTCATTTGGATGTCACCTTGTAAGCACGCATCGACGACCTCCGCAAGGACACTCGAGACCGAGCGCAACGAGCTCCTGCGCGCGCCCGAATCGTCACGGCTTTTGATCCGTCCTGTCTACTTGGAGGCCGATGTTAGGGTATTCGGCAGCATACTTACTGCACGAGGGAACTTGCCGATCTGCCTTGAGTGCGCTCATCATGCTCATGTGCCCTAGTTCACGCGATACCACGCCGGCTACTCCGCGTTCGTGGAGCTGTGTTCCGTTGTCAAGGTCGGCGAACGCCAAGAACATTGAACAAAGCTGCGGCACTCGGGGGTCGTCCAAGGTTCGACGGCACTGTGCTCGTGTCTTGTGTTGAAACGTAGTCTCGGGCTTGCTTGTCGGAACTTTATCGCGGAACCCCGGGCGACGGCGTATGGTAGAAGCTCCGCGGTACTCGCCACTCAACGTTCAAGATCTGGACAGAACATGTCGACAGGGAGCGCTTGTTCTACTCCCTAAGGTCGTCAGCTCAGCACACTCGACGCTTCGCCCCCCCTGGAACACATCGTTCTCGCCTGGTCGGTATCGCTCCCTCAAGAAGATATGGCCCACACCTGGTGTCACATGGCTATCTCCGTGCCGCGACAGGCTAGAGCTGTGCTTCCCATATGTCATTCAATTCCGTCAACCCACTCGTCAGTGCAGAGAGCCGCAAAGAACTGTCGCTTTGGGGCACAAGTCTCTTGCCGTCTTCACGAGGATTCTGCAATGTCCTCGGCGATGCAGCAGTTCTCAGGGCTGTCAGCGTGGTATTTGCCGATGTGAGAACGGTACATGATCTGTAATGGGAGAGAGATGGTCTTGGCGGCTGACTGGAGGCTGAGTAAGTGCGTCTCGGTCTCATCGCCTGGCGGCTTGGCCGGACTTGTTTTCACAATTGACTACCTGGAGTCTGACGCGATACGTTTAGAAGGCCTAACTGTAGTCAAGTGGGCACAGAACAATCGATTTCTTCCCCCTCCAACCGGTCCAAGAAGCATTTGCCGTCGGAAAGGAACCGACGAGTGTCAGCTACGATCATGGGGATCGCTGCACTTTGCCCCCATTACTCCGCCCGACGGGTTCCGTCTCGTCATCACCGTCGCAGACAAGAAGAATCCCGAGCGCAGACGGCCCACGAAGCACTCAGACGCAGTGGGTGCTTCGCAAGGTCAGACGGGCGTATATGAGGGTGAGAACAGATGCGGACTGAGTCTCACCAGTCAACCTCGACATCCAGCCCATCTCCGACCCGCTATGTCGACCACCACCCGCTCTGTGTTCATCACCGGTGCGAACCAAGGTGCGTTCGATGCCATTCCGTCGTGTGCGGCTACAGACCATCGCGGATTCCCACCTGTCTAGGCCTGGGCTATCACACCGTGCACCAGCTCGCACAGACGCCGAACATGGTCCTCTTCATGGGCGCCCGCCGAATGACCGCCGCAGCGGAAGCCATCGTCCAAATCACACCCGACGTCCACCCCACCTCCCGCGTGTTTCCCGTGTACATCGATCTCGCCGACGAGAAAACCATCGCCGATGCGAAGGATGCCGTCGCCGCGAAGCTGAAGGAGCTGGGTGTCCCAGGTCTGGACTTCCTCATCAACAAGTGCGCCCAGCGTTTTCGTGCCTCCTTCGGCGTACTGAACCCCGGGAACCAGCGCGGCCAATGGTGGAAGCCCGGTCGTCCTCACGCTGACGGTCAACATCGCGTCGACCATCGCGGTCAAGAACGCCTTCTACCCGCTGCTCAACAAGGGCGGCGAGATCATCAACATCTCCTCTGAGCTCGGTTCGCAGGCGCGCCACGCCGCCCGCCCGCCCATCAGCTTCGAGGGCCACGATCTCATGGTCTACGCTGCGAGCAAGGCGGCGCTGAACAACCTCACGCTCCAGTGGGCATTCGAGGAGGAGGAGAAAGGCTCCGGCATCCGCGTCGTGGCGATCTGCCCTGGTGCGTTTTCCCATCCTGCCGGCGCTCGAGTCCGCGTGTTGATGGTGATGATTGCTTTGTCAGGTCCGAACTCGACGAGCATAGCGCACTTCTCGAGCTTCGGGATGCATCCGTCTGTTGGATGCGGTGTCATGGTCAACGAGGTCCTGGCGCCCTCGGGGAAAAGTGGCGTGTTCTTCAATAAGGACGGCCTGATTCCTTGGTGACAGTCTTGTACAATATCTAATCAATCGGCGCGCACAATCAGATCTGATAATCTTTGTCCATGTGATCAGCGCGGCACGACGCGCAGGCAGGTCTCTGAATCGTTTATGACGGCTGAATCCGGACGAGGGCCCACTCGGGGTTCACCACCTGGCGCCAAAGTCTCGCGTTCCAGAGCGGTGCGTGTGTAGACGCAAGAGAGAACCATGGCCCACTCCGTGCAGGCGAGGATGCATCCGTCTGAGGGATGCAAGGAAATGGCTAGCGGTCTTGACACCGTCGGGAAAAAGCGGCGTGTTTTCAGCAAAGACGGCTCACTTTTTTGGTAATGTGCCTCTACTTTGGTCTTCTTGTGAGCCTTCGAACTAAGTGCCTTCTAGCCCCTGCTAGGGTCAATGAAATCGCCTGCTTTGATAGTCACGCCAGTGACCTGGATCACCTCAAGTTGATGCCACCCTCTCAGCACGCATCGACGGCCCCTTCGCAAGGAGCTCAAAACACTTGAAACCCAACGCAATGACCTTCTGAGAAACCCCAATCGTCACAGTATTCGATCTGTCGCGTCCCATTGGAGACCATCGCTGTGGTATTCGGCTGCATAGTGGGAGTCTAAGCATAACTCACAAGCCACGTCGTGAATCTGCTTTCCGCGCGCATGCGCCGCAGATGACGCGATATCGCGCTGGCTGCAGACCCATATCTGTATGCTGTGGTCATGCCTCCGTTTGTTCCCCGGCCTTGCCATCGAGATTCGCCGGCGCTGTGTGGTGTGCTGCGCGCTAGTCGTCCCAGACTGGTGTATCCGGGACTTGCGGGCGATATTCTGGGAAACGGGGTGCAATGGACGCTTGTCGCTGGGGCTGCTAGTTTTCGACGATCTAGTTCTCCCGCGGGGTTGGGGGAGGTGTTTACCGACGCATCCACCCACGCGCGTGCCTGGCTCGAATTTCCCCTCGCTGGAATGTCCTGGCGACTCTCGCAATCGCAAAACCCCTGCGGCTGAGCGATCTCGCTTGCACCTGAACTGTCTCGCTCTTCCCGACATGCCACATCTCGGCTCGAGATCCTGAATCTTGGGATCGTGCGCGTGGAGCAAGTGCTGATGCTGGCGGGTTATTCACGTCGTCCTGCGTGCGGTCTGCTGCTGCTGGGCCCGTTAGAATACATGAGCATGCGCGTCGCCCAGTCATAATCCTCTCTGCAGAAAGAGTGGCTCCACTATGGACGTTCTTCTTAGGCACCTGGTTTATTCTGGTCAAGTACCTCCTCGGCAAGATCTAGATGATCCTCTCAAGTAGCTGCACACAAACTCTGGTGTCAGCGACGTGACTAGTTCCATCCCTCGATGAGCTGGAACTGCTCCAACCCTCTTGCATCATTCCCGTCAAGTTATTCGTCAGCCATCCGGAATGCCGCGCAGAACTCTCACTCCTGTGCGCAGATTCTTCGGCCACCTGTTGATGCTTCTGCAACGTCCTCGGGCATCCAGTGGTTTTCTTGACCGTCCGCATGGCATCGCCGACGAGGGAACGGTGCGCGATCAGTAATGGGAAGGAGATTGCTAAGCTCGTACATACGTCTCGGTCTGATCTCCGGGCGACTTGACTGGACTTGACTCCACAATGGTCAACCTGGAATCCGACAGGACACGTTGACACGGCTCTTGAGAGGGGTCAAGTGGGTCCAGGACGATCAGATTCTCCTCTCTTCACTGGTCCGAGAACCCTCCCGCCGGAAAATAATCGCCGAATGTCACCCATTATCATGGAGGCCGTTGGACTTTGTGCCCATTACTCCGCCCGACGGGTCTCATCTCGTCATCAGTATCGCAGACAAGGATCCCGAGCGCAGGCGGTGCACAGAATAATCCAAGGCAGTGGGTGCTTCGCAGAGCGGAGGACGAGCATATATGAGTTACGAGCACGGGCTATTAGGACCTCAGTCTGTCCAGTCCACTTCGACATCCATCCCATCTCCAACCCGTCATGTCCACCACCATCCGTGCTGTATTCATCACCGGTGCCAACCAAGGTGCGTTCGATGCCATTCCGTCGGGTGCAGCTATAAACCATCGCGGAATCCCACCTGTCTAGGTCTGGGCTATCACACCGTGCACCAGCTCGCGCGGACGCCCAACATGGTTGTTTTCATGGGCGCCCGCCGGATGAACGCCGCCGCGGAGGCCATCACTCAGTTGACGTCGGACATCCACCCCACGTCCTCCGTCTTCCCTATCTACATCGATCTCGCCAACGAAAAAACCATCACCGAGGCGAAGGATGCCGTCGCCGCGAAGCTGAAGGAGCTGGGTGTCCCGGGTCTGGACTTCCTCATCAACAAGTGCGTTCGTTTCCAGCCGTCTGACGCTCCTCCTCTCACCCACTCACTCCGGAATCCAGCGCGGCCAGCGCAGGAAGCCCGATCATCTTTGCGCTGACGGTCAATATCGCATCGATCATCGCCATCAAGAACGCCTTCTAAGTACTCGCTGCTGAACAAGGGCGGCGAGATCATCAATATCTCCTCCGAGCTCGGTTCACAGGCCCTCCACGCCGCCCGCCCGCCCATCATGTCTCGCGCGGAAGTCGCACAGGTCCGCCACGACGCCGCCGCCCCGTCCACCGGCGCTGAGGGCCAGAATCTCCTGGTCTACGCTGCGACGAAGGCGGCGCTGAACAACCTCACGCTCCAGTGGGCGTTCGAGGAGGAGGAGAAAGGCTCTGGGATCCGCGTCGTCGCGATCTGCCCTGGTGCGTTTTCCCATCCCGCCGCTGGTTGAATCCGCGTGTGACTCGTGAACGTTCATTCGTCAGGTCCCAACGCAACGAGCATGGCCGACTTCTCGACCCTCGGCGCGCATCCGTCTGTCGGATGTGGTGTCATGGTCAACGAAGTCCTGACACCCTCGGGGAAAAGCGGCGTGTTTTTCAATAAGGACGGCCCCCTGCCTTGGTAGATGTCTGTGTAACATATCGCGGCAATATGAATGCGCAATGAGACCGGAAGCTTGGTACCTCTGGCCAACTCGGCAAGGTTTGCAGAGCTCTGAAACGTCTCTGACGGCGCCTAGGACAAAGTAAGCCTTCTTCTCGCCTTTCCGTGTGGCGCGTGTTTGGACGCAAGAGAGGCAACAGCTGAGTAGTGTGCGTCGAGTTTGGGATCAGTGTAACCTTCTCGACCAAGCTCTTCTGAGGCAAGAGCAGCTCCTAGCATACCTCACCGCTCGTAAGGAGGGAGATCGGCTCGGTGTCCCTCATCTCATCGTGTCACCCGAACCCCCGGAGCAGACCACCACACGAGTCAGCATATCGCAGACGAGCGAGAGATCAAGTCCAAGTCCGAGATTCCAGCAGCGGTGCCCACCCGTTGCTGTTGAGCGATGGTGCACATGCCTGAGAACATGGTATTCAGGGTGACCAGCCAAGATCGGGGAGAGCGAGAGGATACAGAAACGATCAACAAAACAAAACAGGGGGAGTACGAGAGTACAAAGCAAGCCGGCCTTCAGGTCTCCACCTCCATCGTCGGCTCCGTCCTCGGTATCCTCGTCTCCCTCCCGAGACCAGCAGCACGCTCCGACTCCTCGATCGTGTACACCGGCTCCCTGAGCTGTTTGCATCGCCGCTTGTGGATTTTACTCTTCCAGTGTGACTGCAGTGCGTTGTCGGTTTCGTAGTACCTGAATACGTAGCATGTCAGTTGGCTGTCGTCCGGAGTCATGGATGCGGCGCGCACTTTGCACATTCTACGCAGTAGTGCTGGGCCAGGCCGGGGCGCTCATAGTCAAGCGGCTGGGCCTGCAACTCAGCTCGTCGCTGCGAGGAGAGCAAATGTTAAGCTGGGCCGATTTCATGAGTTTGATCTCATCACACACCTTGGGATCCAGGTCTAGCAGCTGAATCTGGTCGATATCGCGTCCTCGTGCCTAGCGATCCAAACAACATCAGCGGCGAGAAGAGGTCAGAGATCAAGTGACACACCCTGGTCCTCGCCCCTCGATGCACATCCCGTCGGGCATGGTGAGCTCTTGAGCGACGCAAGCGACCCATTATTTATTCAGGTGGGGGAGAGCAAAAGAAAATGATGGTGACTGCCACGACCACGTGCCGATCGAGAGGTGATCGGATGTCGAGGATCGATCACTGCTACTGTCACTGTCAATCCGATCCGCTCTCCGGACCGAATCTCGTCGAGCAGTGAAGCACAAGGAAGCACTGTAGTCTGTGTGGAAAGCAGCTTTCTGCCTGTGAGTCGCAAATGGTGGACTGAGCTGCCGTATTTTATGAGCAACCTGGCCGGCAGGGATGGTAGCTCTACCAGTCACATCGCCGTGGCTGGCACATGCGGTGAACAGTCGTTGTGAGACAAGTGTATGGGTGATATGCTATTAGTTCAGCATGCTGCTGATTTTACGCTAATTATGCGACAAAGTCTTGCTCAACAGCGTTTCGAATGGACGCTTTTATGTTAGCGACGGTCGAGCTGTGGTCGTAATACTTCTGCGAACAAGCGCACTGGGCCCGCCAGCAGGCCGCGGCCTCAGGCCATCCAACCATCTCCGACAGAATCGTGTCCCCCAACGGGCGTTTATTAAACTCGGACAGAAGCTGAGAAGCGCGATGAGTAAACGCAGCTCAGTGAACGACGGGGAAGAGGGACTGACCCTTGCTTTCAGCATCCGCCAGGGGTAGTTGTCCCGGTTCCGGCCACAGTTGCATTCCCGCGGCTCGTCGTTTCCAGACGCGAAGAGCTCCGTCCCCTCGAGGGCCTCGCGGAAGCGCCCCTTGCACCTGTCGTGGTACGTCACGAGCCTCAGCAGACTCCGGGAACTGAGCCGGCAGAGGTCCTCCTCGTACGCCTGGCCTGCGGCATCGCTTCCGCCCGAGAGCAGATCGATTTGCAGCGTGCGGCGTGCGATGCCGGGCATCTCGTCGTCCCACCCGAAGCGCGCCGCGAGCACGTAGGCTTTCAGGGGGTGTGCGGCGAAGAGGGGGTGGCCCTCGATGCTCGCCTGTATGACAGAAAGTGGGCCGGGGGCATCCCATTTCTCAATGAGGTCGAGGGTCGTCAGGATCTCGGATAGCGCGGTCCACCGGGGGATGGGCAGCCCGCACATCAGGCGGAGGACGCGGTCCATCGGTCCATCAGCCTCGTGCGTAGGTATGATTTCGGGCTTGACTTCCATTTGGGGGTCGGACGAGTCGCGAAGTTGGACGGAGGATGAGGAGGCCCCCTGCGGAAGTGAAAGTAGGGTGCGAAAGAAGTGAGAGGTCGTGCGCAGGACGACGGAGTGCACGTGGTAGAGGGTGCCTTCGGTGGATTGGAGGATAATGTCTGCAGTCGGGTCGGAGAAGACGGAACTAGTGCGCAGGTCATGATCTTTGCTCGAGGATGACATGTCGTCGTTCGTGGGGAAGGATGTCACTAGAAAGCACTGGGGGAGTTAGATGGGCTTGATTGACAGGTGGCTGTCCTATTGATCACTTAGGCACTTCTGGGTAGATCAGCGACTCTTTGGTCGCCGACGCACAATCTGGTACTAGTCAACTGTTCCTCACTCGCTCTTGACGCACAATCTGTCTTCTTCCTCTCAGTGGCATATTCTCTGCTCATGATTGAGAGAAAACATTCCGACCGAGGTGGTTCACATTTCGACCGAAAAGACGTGCAATCACCGCAGACAATCCAATGGCCAACACCGGCGGGAAGTCTTCCCAGACATTGAGGCGCCAATGTTAGACTGAAAATCCCACGGAATCATTGAATCTTCGAGGACTGCGCTTGTCTCATCGCCCGCTACCTTGCGCAGCAGGGGTTTGCACCTCTTTGAGACCTGCTGTGCGACGCCGTTTGGATTTTGGCTGAGCATCATGATCTAGGCGGAGGCTTGGCAGCTTGACCTCCCCCAAACGCAACGTTCTGGCTCCTTGTCTTGACTTTGACGGGAACGCATGCTGCAGTAACATTGCCTCCTCGAGGCTCAGATCAGCGAAAGGAACATCGGGCACTGCTCGCTTTCACGCCTCGCCGGGCCTGCTCTTCTACCCCTTTGCCTCACTAACCGGTGGTCCGATACATCAAGCGCTTGGGTCTCCCTAACTGTGACGAAGTCCTCCGACTCGTTCGCCTGCAGGGTCGCAGCGGCTTTTCGGCTGTCTCGACATTTAATGCGCACAGGCACCCCTCACTCACTTCATGCCGACAGTATTTCCGATCCAGGACTCGCTTTCCTTTTTGTCTCTCTTTTGCCCGAGAATGCTCGAGTCGGGAATGCTCGCTTCCTTGCACCGGGACTTGAAGCCAGTCGGACCTCCGGACAAGCACTAAGCGAGCACGAGCAGTGGCACATTTGTCTATAAGTATATGGGATCTATGTACATCAGTGCTCCACCGCTCCTGCTCTGGCGCAGTTGCATATTCTTTCGGTTATTCAAGAGCGCTTCGGGCACTCACGTACTTTTCATAGTGGCCGACGGTCACGGCGGAGCCTGCCCCACTGCTTTGCGTCTTGTCCTCGGACATTGACGGGCTCCCTCAGGTCCAGAATGCAGCGCCATGCACACAGGAGAAGTATGGAAGGAGAAAGACAGGGGAGGAGAATACTCGGGCCAGTGCACGCAGAAGATGGCGACATCAAGGATCAAAGGCGTCGTCGGAGTGAGAGCCAGAGTTTGCGTTCAAGTATATACATTTCGAGTCTCGGAATTTGGATCTTCTGCGTTCTCTTGGTGCATCTTAACATGCGATGCCTTAGATAGCCGGGACATTCGAGAGACACCCAGCCTTGCCAGCGCTCACGGCACGGCATCACCGTGTTTCACCACCACCACACGATCCCCCATACTTAGACGATTGTCGTCATCGAGGATTGTCATCTCCATCACCCTACCTTCTTTCTGCCTCCGCTTTCCTACTTCATCCCTCCCTTCCTCCGCTCCTCGTTTTTCCCATCGCCTCGAGCGAGCCAGCGGCCGAAAGGAGCTTTTTCTCCGTCGTCGTCCAGGAAACCACGAACGGCCGGAAGCACAGTTTGAGAGCCTGACTTGCTCACCACGATGTCCCGTCCCCCACGCCACCGTCCGCCCTCGGGCTCACCCGCCTCGTCCTCTCCATATCAACAGGAGCGGCCTTTCCTGCCCAACGATGGCTCGCGCGGCAACGTATCGTTTGCCGCATCCCCGTCGCCATCGTCGCCTGGACCGCACCAACAGAGGGTCGGCTTCGCAACGGGTGGATTTCATCATGCGATGGGAGGAGCAGGAGACGCAGAATCCGGAGGGGCAGCACAAGGCGGCTTCGGTGGGCAAGCACAACGCAAAAAGTCGCTCGTGCGGCCGGAGAGGGAAAAGATCGACCCGGGGCACAGGCAGTGGCACTACCGCAGCGCAGTTACAGGAGAGGGCGGAGCCGTTGGTGTACAAGCATCCAGTGCGTAGTTTCTCTCTTTCTCTACTACGTAAAACCCTCTTCTCTCGTGCTCCTCGTACACGGCGATCACGGAAGCTGACTACCGCACCAGCGACGGGCAACTACCCTCACGCCGCGCCGCTGCATCGCGGGCGCTCGCTCCTCGCGCGGGACCAGGATGTGCACGAGTCCGGTCTCGCGCTGTTCAAACGCGGGCCCGGGACACTTTTGCGCCGTCGCTCAAGCGGGGGCTCGCAATCTGCGTCCACCCCGCTGAACCCCGCCACAGCCAAAACCAAATCGCCGCGGACGAGTTGTTTCGGCGATTACGCCCCTGGCCCTAAAGGGCCGTGGATGCTGTTCTGTTACCTCCTGACGTGCTGGATACCCCCGGCCCTGATGCGAGGCTGTGGGCTCAAGACACGGGAGCAGCAGCGCGCCTGGCGAGAGAAGATGGGGCTGATCGCAGTGATCGCGGTCGAGATGGCTGTGGTCGGATTTGTGACCTTTGGATTCACTGCGGCTGTATGCGGTGCTCCGGGTGCCCGATTCCACGGTGGTCTCATTGGTATCGGTGGGGTGGGAAACGGGAGCGTTGTCATACACGGCTGGGACTACGATCTCACGAACTTCCACCATCCGGCTGCCGGTCCGTTTGACGGCCACACCAATCCTATCCTCGTCGGCGGCTGGGGTTTGGCGGGCAACGACGCAAGTTTCATGTTCCAGAAGACAAACCAGGCGTGTGTCAACATCCTCAACAAAGCCAATGGCAGTCAGATCACGGGCACTGGGGCGTTCATGGACTGGTATTTCCCTTGCAATGTGTTTGGGACGGTCACTGGCGGGGCGAAAGTGAACCAGACCGCCTATGGAAGCTCGGGAAGCTGTCATGTCAGCAGCAAGGGCGCTCCCACGGGAATGAAGGCGAAAGGGCAGGTTTACTACACCTGGGATGATGTAAGGGCTTCTGGCCGAAGACTGGCTGTCTTCGAAAGGTATGCTGCATCCTGCATTTTATTTTCTATCCGATGCTGATCGATTACCAGCAATGTTCTGGATCTCTCTCTTCTGTCGTGGCTCGACCCCGCCCAAGTCTCGTTTCCACCATTTTTCGCAGAACTCGCGGCAGCGAATTCGACATATACCCACACTGATATTACGATGGGACTCATGCGCCAGAACCGCATGTCCCTGGGTCACTGTCTGCAAGATACCATCACTGTTGGCTTCATTGACACCAACTCAATCGGCTGTGTCGCCTCACAAGTGCTGCTATATGTTTCGCTGGTCTTCATTATCGGCGTCGTGCTGATTCGCTTCGTCATGGCGTGTTTGTTTGCTTGGTTCTTCGCTCCCCGGATCGGTGGTTTCCCGACGGAGACGTACGAGGATCGGATGAAAAGAGCAGAGGAGATCGAGGCATGGAGCAGTGACATCTACAAACCAGCCCCTAGTGCTAGGCGTCCCAACGTCAAGAGCAAGACGTTCATCCCGAGCACTTCGAGATTCACACCAGCTGATGTCAAACGGCCCGCGTCGTCATATGCTGCCCTCGACTCTGGCTCCTCTGTCTTCAAGCGTTCGACCGTGTTCAGCGAGGGAGCTTTCGCAGAAAACCCTTGTCCGTTCCCTCTGGGCCGGCACGTGGTACCCCAGCCGCCACCCGACTACGAGCCGTTTAATTTCCCACTCGCGCACACAATCTGTCTCGTCACAGCATATTCCGAATCCGTGCAGGGCTTGCGTACGACCCTCGACTCGCTTTCGACAACGGACTACCCGAACAGCCACAAAGTGATTCTCATCATCGCTGATGGCATGGTCAAGGGCGCCGGCAACGATCTGACTACGCCGGACATCTGTCTGTCCATGATGCGCGACTTGGTCGTGCCGATAGATGAAGTGGAGCCGCACTCGTATGTCGCCATTGCGGATGGGCACAAGCGACACAACATGGCCAAGGTGTATGCCGGTTACTACGAATACGACAACTCGACTGTCGAGCGATCGAAGCAGCAGCGCGTCCCGATCGTTCTTGTCGCGAAAGTGGGCAATCCGCTCGAAGCGAACGACGCCAAGCCCGGGAATCGGGGCAAGCGGGACTCGCAGATCGTGCTGATGGCGTTCTTGCAGAAGGTCATGTTCGATGAACGGATGACGACGTTTGAGTACGAGTTCTTCAATTCGCTGTGGCGGGTGACGGGAGTGAGCCCGGACCGGTACGAGCTGGTGCTTTGTGTGGATGCGGACACGAAAGTGTTCCCGGACTCATTGAATCGGATGGTCAGCTGCATGGTGCGCGACCACGACATCATGGGCTTGTGCGGGGAGACGAAGGTGGCGAACAAGGCGGAGACGTTTGTGACTATGATGCAAGGTGTGTTTCTTCCCATTCTCTCCTGAATGCGATTTCACCACTCCCAGTCTTCGAATATTACATCTCGCATCACATGACGAAGGCCTTCGAATCCATGTTCGGCGGTGTCACCTGTTTGCCCGGATGCTTCAGTATGTACCGTATCAAGGTGCCGAAGGGAGACTCTGGTTTCTGGGTGCCGATTCTGGCCAATCCAGACGTTGTCGAGCACTACTCGGAGAACGTGGTCGACACACTGCACAAGAAGAACCTGCTTCTGCTCGGCGAGGATCGATACCTTACCACGCTGATGCTCAAGACATTCCCCAAACGGAAGAACATGTTCTGCCCTGCGGCGGTGTGCAAGACGATCGTGCCCGACACGTTCCAAGTGTTGCTGTCGCAGAGACGCAGATGGATCAACTCGACCGTGCACAATCTGTTCGAGCTGATTCTTGTGCGGGATCTGTGCGGGACGTTCTGTTTCTCGATGCAGTTCGTCGTCGGAATGGAGCTGGCGGGCACCTTGGTCTTGCCCGCCGCCATCTCGTTCACCTTGTACCTGATCATCAGCTCTATCATCCCCGGCGGCCCCAATACCACGGTTTCCCTCGTACTCCTCGCGTTCGTGCTGGGGATTCCACTCGTGCTGATCGTCATCACCAGCCGGAAGATTGCGTACCTCGGATGGATGATAATCTACCTGATCAGTCTGCCCATCTGGAACGGTGTTCTGCCGGCGTACAGCTTCTGGCATTTCGACGACTTCTCGTGGGGCCAGACGCGTATGGTCGATGGCGAGAACAAGGAAACGGCGGCGCATGGGGACAAGGAGGGTGAATTCGACTCGACACATATCGTAATGAAGCGGTGGACCGAGTTTGAGAGGGAGCGCAGAGCTGGGATCAGGTGCGTGATCGGTGGCTTCGATAGGCAGCTACTGACTGGATGATATGTGCTCACAGATCCGATTACAGGAACGAGACGCCCAAGCGATACTCCCTTGCATCCTCAGCCTACGACGCCTCCGCATCGACTAGCACCGAGTCTGGAAACCGAATGCCGCATGACGGCGGTGCTGGTGTCTTGACGCTCCCGACGCCACTGAGTGTCTCCCCGAGGCAGTCCGGGCCCAGGCAGTCGCTCACGGCTCCCAGTGCATCAGCGTCAGCATCGTCTCTTTCGACCAATCCGGCGTCTGATCCGTTCGGCACACCCCGTCTGGGAACCTTCGACGATGACACCTACTCGTACACCCAATCCCCGTCGCAGGGGCAGTTCCAGTTCGGGACCCAGACCCCGCCTCAATCCCAGTCTCACTCCCCCCCTCCGGCGCAGAACCGTCAGCCACGGCAGCCCCATGCACCGCAGCCCGTGCGGCCGCCTGTGCGGGGAGTCAGCCTCATCGACTCGGGGCCGGTTCCTGGCCCCGAAGGCGCGGTCCGGCGTGTGGCGAAGCGGAGCTCCACAGCCGCGCCTCGGTCTGGGTCGGTTCCTGCGCCGATTCCCCAGCAGGTTACCGGAGGGCATGGCCTTCCACCGGGTGCGGCGGCCCCGGCCCCGGCGACGTATGGGCTGCCTCCTGGCGCAGCTGCGCCGACGCCGTCGCACAGATGGACCGGGTACGAGGCCGATGATCAGGACACCGAGTATTAGTGATCTGGACGGACACGCGGACTTTTTTCTTTTCACTTTTCTTTTCACCTCTTTTCCCTTTCATACGTTCTCTTTTTCATGAACGCAACGACGACTGCATTCATCTGACGGGCATTTAGACACTACATTCATGTACTTGCACTATTTTAATCGATATACCCCGTTCGGTCTTTCGCCTGTTCTATTGCATGCGATACTGATGCTGCATGGGCGGAAGATTGGCATGTGCCGCCCAGTCTCCGGTTGGAATAAGGAGCAGGGCATAAAACCATACATGCATGTAATAACGTTGGAGATTCAAGGGACACCCTTGTTCGGATGCAGAAGGAATGGTTCTGCATCTGAGGAAGAGCCCTGCGGCGCAAAAAGGAAGGACAAGTCACCCTTCTCTCTGCTCCGGAGAGACTCGAACTCTCGATCTTCTGATTTATGGCCAATGTATTTAACAGTCAGACGCCTTAACCAGCTGGGCCACGGAGCACATAGCCAAATTGATGACAGGAAGAATATCAGTCCGCGGGGATGATTTCAGAAAGAGCAAGAACGCACGTTGTGAAGTTATGGTTCGACATCATTTCTGAAGAGTTCTGCCGTCGCCTTCCAGGTTAAATGATATCTTCACTCTGTTCTGACATTTCAAAGGCAAGCTGACCCTGCTTCTCAGATTAAATGTAGCTTTTTAAGGAGCAGTCTGACAGTGAGGGACCAAGTAAGTAGCGAAGCACGCTGATTCTGCCTGAACACAGCGAGATGCAATGAGGGTGATTTCAAGTACATGAGTAAGACATGAGAGTATACTGGGCACTAACAGGGTGCACGAAAGGCGATAATCAGAACAGACGGAGAAGAATGTTGAACGGAAGACCATGATAATGGCCAAAGAGAGGATGAAGGAGATCAGCGCAGCCCACACTTTCAGAGAGAGACGGTTTATGCTCCAACTCAAATATCAAAGCCCACCAATGGATTCATCTCGGTAGGTCTCCTGTACCACTTTAGGTGACTGCAAAGTTATCGGGGGGAGACTGCTCAACGCTGGACGGTTCAAGGTTGTCTCTGTAATCTTAGTCGGATTATATTGGTCTCTGTCAATTCCACTGACACACACCGGTGGTGAAACGGTATCATGCTTGCCTTCCATCGAACAATCTAGCTGCCCGAGCAAGCGGCACGGGTTCGACTCCCGTCCGGTGTATGTTTTGCTGCCGTGCCCTTCCCGTTTCTCGCAGATTTGATGGCACCGCTTCTAACTACTGTTATTGCCTATTCAAGCAGCTTGTCCTTCTTGAGGGCCGAACAAATTCATGTCAAATTCCAGAACTGCGGTCCATCGGACACGCACAATCCCCGGACCAGACCGATATGGACGACAGACAAAGAGTCTGGAACAAGAGATCTTCCAAATGCAGCGGACTACGCCGTATGTCGTTCGGCAATTGACAGGCGATTGACTTATCACTTGGCCTGACAGAAATGCTAATAGGCGTTAACGGGACAGCTGCAGAAACGTATCGCCGCGCATGAATCAGTTGATGTCGCGACTCGCATCTCTTGGGAGCCACATGCTGCAGAGCGCCCGAGTCCGAGACAATCTTCTGCCATCCGAGACGAGACGCGATCTCATTCCCGGATATACGCGCGATGGATAAAAGATGGCTATCAGCGACTGCTTTGCAGCGCTTGGCACATGTGAAGGAGAGAGAGGGTGTCTGGTGTGGACACGAACTCTAATTCGGATGGGCCCAAGAAAAAGGCGTAGCGTACTTTGCCGTGCTGCGATGACGGCTTGTCCGCTCCGTACTCGGTTGTCTGATCTCTATCCCATTCCCCGCTCGGTGGCAGTGCGTCATCGAAACAACGCGCCGGGTTGAGATGGAAGCAAAGGCAGTACAAGTTACAAAAATAAGTGTGTATCTGGAAACGGGGCTGAGGCTGTACTCGATGGATACATGTTACATGTCACTCTTCGTTCTTCCTATCGGCGCTGATGACGTTCAACAAACTGCCTAACCTGGACCCAATCGCGGCACTGGTGCACCACATGGTCCCCCGAAGCACCTGAATCGCAGATCCCCAACTGTTCGTCGCACTCCAAGACTGTCGGCTCGATGGTGATGTCGCTCGCACAGCGGATGGCCTGCCGGATCTGGCCCAGGCACCCATCCACATCTACTTCTTGCTCTGCAGAGATGACGGATGGCCCTGAGGCGTCGCGCAGACTGACGAATGCAGCCCGGATGACATCGAGACAGCGAAGATCACTGAAGAGACCGACAGCATATTCGTTTTCGCCAGATCGGGCGGGAGATCCCGCATTGGGCCGCAGCCAGATGTGCCCTCCGTATGCGGGAACAAGCGATGTCCAGGACCCTGCGTCGGTGATGTTGTAGTGGTGCGCACCGAGATCGAACTCGAGCGCGGTGTGGGTGTGCGGCGACGCGAGAGGAAGCTCGCCGGGACCGCTGGACGCTGATATAGACCCTGCGAGCGTTCGAAAGTTAGTCTGAGTATGGGTTCCATTGATTGTGCACGCGAATTGGAAGACGACTAACTTCGCGGGGGAGACATTTTGAAGTACAGAATGGCATTCAATGCCAGACTCGACAGGAAGAGGAGGGTCGTCGTCGCCTTGGTGGTCAGCATGGGCGGGAGAATGGTATCGCTCGCAGCAAGCGGTGGCGAGTGCACTATGAAGGAAAGCTCAATGAGATAAGCATCGCACAGGCTTGGCGGATGACTCGGTATCACTTACTTCAACTCGGCTTGACGCAAGCTTCTTCGAATCAGGATGGAAGCCCCAACTGTGGGTAGCGATACCCTGTGTATGTATGGCTCGGGGCAAAACGCTGTGCGAATCGAAACCAGCGCGCGGCGTGCTTCTATCTTCGGCAGCATCTCATGATCAAACGAGATTCGTCAGAGTCAATTTTATCATCTTCTGACTCTCACTCGGCCGCTATAAATGCTTGCATGTAAGCGAGGCTAATAACCATCACTCCTCACCCAGCACAAAGAGCCATGCACGCGACCTCGAGCCTCCTCCTTGCCCTGACTTCACTGGTGGCTCTCGTGGCTGGTGCCCCCGTCGGTCTCGAAGGTAATCAGATCTGCATATGGCTACGTATGGCCCACGGCTAACACTGTCCGCAGAGCGTCAGTTCTGGGGACAACACCTGGAGCCGCAGAGGAAAAGTCCAGTCGAATCGCGCGCATTCTGGGCTGCGGAAGCCGAGCCTGCAACTGCAGAGAAACGTGCATTCTGGGCCGACGAGGTCGAGCCAGCGACCAAGGAGGCACGCGCATTCTGGGCAGCCGAAGCCGAGCCCGCCACTCCTGCGAAACGTGCTTTCTGGGCAGCAGAAGCTGAGCCCGCCACCCCTGTGAAACGCGCTTTCTGGGCGGCGGAGGCCGAGCCTGCAACCACGAAGGAAAACCGTGCATTCTGGGCAGCCGAGGTCGAGCCGGCGACGTCCGAAAAGCGCGCGTTGTGGGCGGCAGAGGTTGAGCCCGCCTTCCCAGCTGAAGCCCGAGCTGTGGCGCCGACAGCGGAAGCACTCAGGCTCCCCCGCGCGTTCTGGGCCGCCGAAAAAGAGCCCGCTGCCGGAGGAAAACGGGCTCTGTGGGCCGCCGAGAAAGAACCTATTGTCAAGTTGGAGTGAAAAATTTTGAAGCCGCATCATATGTATCTCTCTCTCTGTCTCGGTGTCTGTTATCTTGACCTATCGTGTAAATATTGGATCGTGTATGTATTGATCTGTTCGATTGCCGTGAATGCCAAATACCCTCTGCGAGTCAGAGTAGAACGAAATGAATGCATGATGAGGATTCCAAAGGCCGAGAACAGCCCGAGGCGCCAAATTCTACCGGGATGGCAATCGCATAGGACTGTAGCGTAGCGTTCTAGAAATGGTGACATCGGGAGAAGATCTGCTCAAACTACACAGCCATTAGAAGGGATGGCATGCCACTGATTAGATCTGCTGGGTGTGCGTCAAACTCCGTCAGTATATGTATGAGAAAACGCCGGCCCAACGCACCTCGTACATCTATCTATCTGCTCCCATGCCCGTCCGCTCCCCCATCCTCTTGACGCTCGCATGCATATCATGCATCGTCAACGTCTTCCTCGTCATCACGGCCTGGTCCCGCTCACGATTGAGCGAGAGGACCTTCGATCACAGCGCTGGTATGTATAGATTAGCAGCAGTGCGCGTGCCCGAGAGCGTGTATCTTACCTCCGGCGCTCCAGAAATCGAAGTCAGCGAGATCCCTATCCCATTCTCACCGGCAACCACCGCCTTCGCGCTCCCAGATCCCAACTTCCCCGTCTCCGACGACCACAAATGGGCGACCATCGTGCCCCCCCACTCCGGGTTCGTGCGCCTGGGGCCGAACGGCACGGCGTTCGCGGTCTCGATGTACCACCAGCTGCACTGCGTCAACGGCGTCCGGTTCGCATACAACGCCGCGCGCAAGGGCTACTTCAAGACCGACGCGGAGAAGGCCGCGTCGTTCGGGCACGCGAACCACTGCTTCGACTTCCTGCGGCAGGCGCTCCTGTGTCGCGCCGACACGACGCTCATCCCGGTCGACGAGGCGACGGGGCGAGAGAAGGGGGATGGGGTCGTCCGGCGGTGTAAGGTCGACGAGACGCAGGTGCGCGCGTTCGTGGACGAGAACCATCGCTTTTGGAAGAACGAGTGGCCAGGCCAACGGGCTGTTGCGGCATAGTTTTGCGACTTGAGGGATTGTTCTACATTGTGAAAGGGAGACAGGGGATCACTGGTCCCGTAGGACGAGTACGTCTGTGCGCCGACAGGAACGGCCCGACTGCACTGGGTGAGGATGAAGAAGTGCTGGAAGAGGGCATCACTGATGCTGACTTGTTTTGTCGACTACCATTCTTGTACTTTGAACGAGACCATCACCACTTGTACAGTAACAGTACATTCGTCCAAGGACATTCTACGACAGCCATTTGATATACCCGTACCTCCTGGACACGACACTCACGAACGGCTGAGGATGTCCACCAATCTGCTGGAACCGCGCACTGGACTGCACAGCCGGTCAATCTTTGTTCCGCCCGAGCTTATCCTGAGTCGTACCCTCTACGGTGTATTCAGCTACATATGTCTGATTCTGAATCGCGGATGGACGAGCCAAGTGCTATGTGGCTGTGGACCGTGCAATGAAGCGGATACATATCGAGGATGATGATCGCTTCTGGAAGGCGATGCTGGCTACGAAGGCCACCCACTTGCTCGTGTTGACTATACGACAGGCTCAAAATCAAATCTGGAGCACGAGCTGGCTAGCCGCGACAATATCTGGGGCACGGATATCTACGGAGCGCCAAAATTACGACCAAAGGGCCGCCGGAGAGGTGGCCAGCCGATATTTGGGCGTCCCCTGCCTTTTAGAGCCATGCCAGCTCTTATGTGTTTCACTTCGGCTGGTCTCTTCTTCGGTGTTGTCCCTGCACTTTTGATCGAATGCTCACGCGCTGAACCTCGATTTGGGTACCCAGACCATCGCGTGCACAGCCGGATCCCACACCAGCGCGCAAGATCGAGTAACGGCACGGCGACGACGGATCCACCTCCCGTCGCTATCTTCTCTCCTTCATTCTCATCCCTCATCACACGCAACGCTCTCTGTTTCACGAGTCTCGTGCTAAGCTTGCCATGCGCTCTCGTTGCTACACCGGTCGAGCAATGGGTACAGGAGAAGCAGCATCGGGCCGCCATGGTCTCCTCCCCTTGCATCTGTCCTGCAGTTTACAACGCTCCAACGTGCATGCCGTTGTCCGCGTTTCGCCGCTTCTTTTGCACGGAGCACTCGTCTTGTTCTTTCTCGACTCGGTCGCATTCCTGGGGCCCGCAACCACATCATCATCAACATCTCTTCCGCTCTTGGCCTCTCGTTGTTTTGCTCCACCGAATGTTTACTGTGCTTCCTTTGTTCTTCGAGTGCATATTGGACTACGAAGTCACGCTGCTCCGCTTGCTATTCGATAGTTGTGGACCGATTTGCTCGTTCATCGCTCATCGGAACCCCTCCCGCCCAGAAATTAGGATAGCGTCGCAATCCGTGCTCCAGGAATGATGACTGATTCAGGGTCGAGCGTAACCATTGCCGTGCCTATCGTCGCTCTGTTCCAGATGCACTGCGCAGTTGCTGTGGCATCTCCGCCTCCATGATCTATGAATGAGACAGAGTGCTGGCCCTTGGATCTGACGCCAGGAATCATTCGTCCGGCGCACGAGGCTCTGACTGGTTGTCCTAGCTTGGAGGATGAATGCATCAGACCTGCCCGCTGGAGCATGGATGAGGTCATCCGACTGATATTCCATCCTCACAGGGCAGAACGTATCTCAGACCGTGATACCCAGTTGATGATGCTGCGGGTCTTTCAAAATACCGGCGCTCACGCAGCAGAAGGTGAAAGTGCTATTCGGATCCTCCGGTCCCTAGTGTTGGGTTTGCCATGTCAAGGGGAGCCTTCAGGGATATGTCAGAGGGCTTGAGACCTGGCATGACAGCGACTGCTCCCGAGCGATGCTCTCCACCTGGACAACAACAAGTGGGGTGGGTGGAGAGGGCGCTTCAATCGCACTCGGCAATAATTGATGGCAGTGAAGAAACTGTGGAGCGAGATTCTCGTCTAAATGATCGTTGTGCGCTATCGACTGACTCGAAAACACCGGGTTCTAATCTAATCGTATGTTGCCTCCGGATAGTCCAAGTACCCGATCGACGGCTCGAAAGCACCCCCATAAACATGCGGCCCGTCCAGCTTGTTGTCGAGCGGCTTCCCCGCCCGGATCCGGCGTCCCAAGTCCGGGTGCGACATCCACGGGATGCCGATGGACACAGCCGGGAACTTCCCGCTCTCGACCCACTCGAGAGCCTGCTCAGGGGTGATCCCGCCGTTGGGGATCAGCGGCGTGTTCTTCAGATACGGCGCGTAGATCTCCCACACATCGTGCGGCGTCCCGCGTTTGGCGGGGTCGAAGAGGTCGAGGTAGCGCAGGATGCAGACGTACGCCAGCCCGAGCTTGTCGACTTCGGAAAGGAGATAGCCGAAGGATGTGATCGTTTCTTCGAGCGGGAAGCCCACGTCGTTGTATCCCCCGGCTGGTGGGCTATGGTTAGCGCTGACGTGCTGGTGCTGGTGACACGGTGGACACGCACCAGGATTGATCTTGAATCCGACGTTCGGGCCCCAGATTTTGCGTACGGCCTTCAGGATTTCAAGAGGGAACCGCGCGCGGTTTTCTGGGCTGCCGCCCCACTCGTCCGTGCGTTTGTTGACGCTGGGATCCAGGAATTGGGTGATAAGATACCCGCTCGCACCGTGCACTGAGTGCGCAGAGATGAGCGACGACCGGGATTCATAGTAGACAAACGGAGATCTAGCACACCTTCAACACCATCAAACCCGGCTTCTTTGGCATGGAGTGCCGCAATTCTGAACAGTTCGACCATCTTCCATGGATCTGGGATCTCGGTCGGCTGGGCCAGAGGGTGAGCACATACATGTCGCCTTATCGGCAGTGAATGATACTCACCATCGCATAACCCGGTACTCCAGGTATGAATCGGAACTTTCCCCCTGCGGCACGGACGGCCGATGGGGCCCACACAGGCTGGGAATCGGAGTAAGTACGACTCCACGGTCTGATGCGTTTTGCGCACCTCTCCCGAAGCGATCTGATGTGGTGCGTCGGGATGAGATGCACGCCCGGCTAGATTGGTGAGCCCAATTGTTGAAGACAGTGACACAACAGAGGACTCACTGTGCATGATCTGACAAAATATGCGCCCACCCTCCTCATGCACCGCATCAACGATCTTTTTCCATCCCTCCATCTGCTCAGTGTTCCAAATTCCCGGCGAGTCCTGCCATTCCGTCCTGCAACTCCGTAGAATCCTTGGCACGGTGATGGATGGGAGTCTAGAACGCACCCCTGCCTGCTGACGAGACTCGCCTCGGTCACGATCAGCCCCGCGCCGCCTCGTACGCGCCGCACGTAGTACTCCCGCATGATGTCGTTGGGAACGGTGTCCGACGACCTATTACGTGCCATCGGCGCCATAACTGGTGCCCACTGTCAGTGATGCTGGATCGGCACTGGACAAGAGGGTGCGCACAAATTCGGTTAGGCATGGTGACGCTGCCGAGCGTCACCGGCGTGAAGAGCTTGGGAGTAGTCGAAGAAGTAGTGCCGGAGGCCATTGCTGCTGTAGATGAGACTGCCAGGGTTCAGCCGCCGTCTTTTTATATGCCGCGCCTTCCATTCGCGTTCACGGTGGCGCAGGACGGCCCGCAATTCGCCAGGAAAAACGCAGGCAAAGCTAACCGGTAGGAGGAGGCGCATGGTCGAATCGTGTCGTGTCATGCTCTTTTTCCGTAGGGCTGGTGTCGAGAAATATAGAGTGCTCGTGTCACCGAGCCTTGTCGAAGGATGACACATCGATGCCACTTCGCCCTTTTCGGCAGCATCATTGATACCAATAGTAATAGCCTTCTTGTAGGCTTCCATACATGACATCAGCACGACAACAAGACGTGGCTGTGCCCATGGCTGAGGATGACAAGTTCGGGAACAAACTCAAGTTCATCAACGCAGTGCGTCTGATGCTGCGTCAGCTCGATTGACTCATCAAGGCTACCTGAAGACATGCCTTTGAGACTACGTGGACTGGCACTCCGAAAGCACAGAGGGCACGTCATTCTAATTACCCGTAGATCATTATCCGCGGTACCCCGCTGCATACGAGGCAGCCTCGGTTCAGAGTTAGAAAACCGATGCTTGGTTCATATTGGCCGAAGTTCTTACAACGGAGTCCTCAGGGCCACGAGGAGACTCAGGAGAGCTCCCCAGAGTATTCCGAGTCCCCGGGCAAACATCATTCGATTCTACGTTGTGATTAGAGGCTAGAGCTAACAAAGGTCTATATGATTTGCTTATCTTTTCTCTTCGGCTGGGGTGAATTTCTTTCTTTCTACAGATCTGGGTGGTCCCACTGTACACTGGATAGTATAGAAATCACGCACACTTTTGCGTCCAACATGCACCCACTTCGGCTTCCAGCCGGTGCGTAATATATGGATCTCATCAACGAGCAGCTGCTGACTGATGCAAGTGCCTTGGTCGGTACAGCAGTGAATGGTATGTCTTGTTTTTCGGCGGATAGAATCGGTAGCTTCGGCGGCAGTTGTGGATTACTCCGAGGTACCACCCGATACCACATGTAGATGAACGATGCACTGATTTTTTTCTAGAAGAAAGATAATCAACAGCCTCTGCTGTCTGCTTGTCACTTTCCGGCGGGGAGTGCGTATTTTCGGCTTGACCGACCGATCCATCAATCGGAACAGTCCGTCGGTAGTGACAGTAAGCACTACGCCCCATCGAACATCGCCGAGATTTTATCATGGATCTATGCTAGAGCATGTGAGCCAAGGCTCACAAATCATACAAATCGTGCCACTATCGCCCGGTTCCATGAGTGGCCCACTTAGTTTCTCCCATCCTATCTCATTTGAGCTGCGACCAGATTTCAAGATCAAAGTAGGGAAGCCGCAGTAGTGCAAATCCCATACGGTTCCCTCATGTGATTTTTGTCCCTTTCAATCTCTGTTCTTCGCTAGTTGTAACCCACTCAGATATTAATTAGGGTTCTGTATCCAACAAATCATCTCCCAGGTAGCTGCCTGCGCTCTAACACACTCTTGCGGTTTGCAAAAATGGTAATCAGATATCCCACTGATCTCTCAGAGCTCTCCGAGTCTCTTGCGCCCATTTTTTCATGTAGTCTTGGGAACATCCACTTTTAATTGTGTCAAGAAATATAGGAAGAATCTCCTGATTGTGGGTGCTGGTGCTGAATATCAGCACCGCCGAAACACAAGGAGAATCACGAAAAATCTAAGGGTGTCATGTGGGTCCCGTGATTCCTTTTTGTTTCTCCCGGCAATAAAGCCCTCGCCTACCCGTTTGTGTATGTACAGGCTTCGATACAGGACGGGAGGAAGCGTCACAGAGCATGTTTGCACAGGCTTGCAGTCCTCGTGATCGTTTCTCAATGCCGTTCCCACGCCCTGAATCGCCGGGCTCGCATTCCACTCGCATCCATGGCCCTCCCCACCAACGGGCGCGTCATCATCGAGACCACGGTCGGGGACATCGACATCGAGCTCTGGTCCAAAGTCAGTATGCCTCCCGTGCACTCGTGGGCGCCTTGTCACGAGATCCCGCCAGGAAACGCCCAAGACATGCCGCAACTTCATCCAACTGGCGCTGGAGGGTCTGTGAGTCAGACTCCCATCTCCGGACCTGTGGTTCATCGTCCTGGTAGGGTACTACGACAATGTCATATTCCACCGGTACGCGGGCGTGTTTCGACTGTGGAGCCGCGTTTGACGCCGCTGCAGTGTCGTTCCCGGATTCCTGGTGCAGACGGGAGATAAGACGGGCACGGGTGCCGGTGGGGAATCCATATACGGGGGTGCGTATGTGTGTATGTGCGTGCGGCAGTCCGTGGTTCTCATCCATTTTCGGGCACAGAGCCCTTCGAGGATGAGATCCACCCGCGGCTGCGCTTCCCGCATCGAGGACTCGTAGCTATGGCGAACAACGGTACCAAGAACTCGAACGACTCGCAATTCATCATCACGCTCGGTGAGGAGGATCACGGCCGCGCTGTCTGGGTCAATCGCTGAGGGCTGGATTGGATCGCAGACCGCGCGGACGAATTGCACGGCAAGCACACCTTATTTGGACGCTGCGTGGGAGACACGGTATACAGTTCGTCTCTCTTTGCACAGTGAAAGACTTTTCGCTAATCTACCGACTGTGTAGATGTCATGAAAATTGGGGAATTGGGTACGTCCTTGCAGAGCAGGATCATCATCATTCGACTCAACGCGGATACCAGAACTGGGGGAGGAAGGCCGTCCAGTTTAGTAAGTGATTTGCTCTATGCTCCTTTTCCTCTCTCATCAGTGCCAGCCCTCCGAAGATCAAAACTGTTCGCATAGTAGACAACCCTTTCGACGATATAATCCCTCGAATAACAGCAGCCGAAAAGCGCGCTCAACAACGGGCCCGAGAGCAGTCTCAAAGGGAGCGCGAAGAAGCGGAGCGTCGCAGAGGTGCTAAGAAGTCTGCGGGTTTCCAATGGATCCGCTTTCACGATCTGACGAGCAAGACAGGAACGTGCAGCTGCTCAGCTTTGGCGCGGACGAAGACGACGCTCCGGTACTGATCAAGAAGAAAGAAATCGTGCGGCCGGACTGTGCGCATTGGAATCCTATTCTCCCAAGAACGCTGATTTACGCGCTGCAGTGGTGGACGACCCCAATGCGGCAATTGCCGTCCCTGACTTCGTCGCTGTCAAGCCTTCTTCGAAAGTTATCGAGCGGGCGAAACCCACGAAGAAGGACGAAGACATCACCAAGATCCGTGCCAAACATGCGGAGGAAGCGGCATCTTCAGCGTCTGTCGGCATCATCATCCCCTAGCTATCCTCCACTCACAACCTGTCTGTACTGTAGTAACACGCGCAAGAACGAGATCGCCAAGATGGAAGCCGACATTCGGTCCCTTGCGAAGCGCCGGGGCGGTGCCGACTCCGACGACGAGGAACTGGCTGCATTGCGCAAGCCGAAGAAGGTCAAGTCGTATCTGGAGGAGGAGATGGCGAAGTACTCTAAGGGCAAAGGCCTCCATCGAAAAGGCGCGCGCCGGGACGAGTCGGACGTCCTCGCGGCGCTCAATTCGTTCCGCGGCAAACTTTCCCGCGCAGAGGACGAGCCCACCGCCATGGACGTAGACATGGATGCGGATGCTGGTGCGGACGAAGCGGGGAAACCTGCCGCCGGTGCGGGGGAGGAAGATCCCGGGATCGAAGTGGACGACGACTGGGGCTTCATGGGTCACTCGCTGCACTTCCCGAAGGACAATATGGAAGAGACGGTGAAAGCCGAGCGAGATTACGAGGTCATCGACCCGCGAGCGAGGGGCGCTCGTGCCAAGGAGGAGGAGCGGGAGCGCAAGCGTGTTGCAAAAGAGAGGATGGGACGTAGTGGACGTCAGCGGTACTGATGCCTGGATCTGGCGTAACAATCCTGAGGTCATCTGTTGATGTGTACCATGGGGGTACGAGTCCCTCAAAATGCTAGCACCAGGAAGATAATATCCTGACTAGCGCAGTGACGATGAACATCTGCGTACTGCATCCTTCGTAGTTTGCACGTGGACCTGTTTTGAATCTCTGTGAATGCAGTTTCTGCTACTGGCTTCTGGACAGCCTGGGCTAGGGCAATGATCGACTTGAAGGCAACATGTGATTTTAAAACGAAATGCCGAGAGGGGAACGGATGTCAATGAGATAGCAACATCCTCTACAGGGCACACAAAAAAGAATGGCATCAACGTGGATTGAACACGTGACCTGTAGATCTTCAGTCTATCGCTCTCCCAGCTGAGCTATGACGCCTTGAAGTTACTCTCATGGCATCTATATCAACTTGCATTGCTTACTCTTCAGCAGTTTATGTACCGCCTTATATGTGAAAGGAGCATTTCAACCCATTCTGACTGGAAGTCATCTGTCAGCACTGCGCTATCCATATTCCTACAACAACCAGCCAGATTTGCTCTGACTAATCGGCCATGGTAACCACCATCGCGCATAGTGTCTGGCGACTAAAAGAATCTCTTGCAGCGTGGAAAATAGAACGATACTGGTCGGCACTCATCAGTGGCTCATTTCCAGACTTGATTCATATCGTTTACGTACCACTTCTGGGTCGCTTCTGCAATGGCCATTTCCGTAGTGCGATCGATTCCCAATGTCTCTGGTGGTCTGCCTCCGAGCCTCTGTGAGTGTAAGCTACCCTCGGTCTAAACCATTCGGCAAGTTCGTGCCTGCCTCTTTCGCTTGTTCTCGGGATACCCGTGACAATCGACCACTGGACTGATTTTAAAGATGGCATCTCTTCGAGTCTTGCAACAGTTGTAGAATTCGGTACATGCTGAGCAGGATTCGATGTAGATGAGAGCATAACAGTCACATTATTCTATTAGTTTGTGTACGTCTGCAATGAGCCCAGGAGCCCGCCCCAAACAAAGGCCCTCGGGTTACCGCTACTCTCCGTGTATTTGCTGAGGAACAGCTCATCCGCCCCGCCCTCAGCCGTGGGCTCTTCTTGGGGTGTGGCGAGTAGATGTCGGCCCATCAGATTCTGAAGTGCTTTTGGATTCTCCATCACATTCCGCAAACCGGCCGAGAGCAGCTCTGCAATCTCAGGGCTGTCCCCCAGATTCAGCTGGTCTGTTCCCTTGGCCATCGCTAGAAGGTCGGTGATGCTGATGTCTTCTTCCTTGCCGCGCTCAGTCTGCCCATCCGCGCTTTCACGTGCAGAAGTCGAGACGCTGCCCTCCGACGGGTCGACCACGACACTTGACTCGTCTTCGTCAAACGATATCATGGTTTTGGATTCAGCCGCTTTTCGCTCGCTCCATTCCGTCGCCTCAAATGCATTTTCGAGCAGCTGCGCCGTGCCAGCAGCCATCCCGCTTTCCACAAAATCCTCGACCACATCGTGGGCTGGGCTTGCAGTCTCCTGACTCTTTTCCATCCACCGCGGCTGTCCCAACGCGGGTTTGCCTGTGGCTCGGGATGCGGGCTCATCGGCTTTTGCTGTTGTGGCGCTGCCGAATTCGGATTCCATCGCGCGGAAAGTCGCCTCCGGATTCTCTTTCATTTTCCTGAACCCGTCTAGCATCATCAGATCGGCCCGACGGCCAACTCGCCGTTCGCCACCTGCAAGGTGGTTTTCATTCTCCACAGTCGGAACATGAATCATGGCGAGACGGACCTGTTCGCAGGACACCTGCGTCCAACCACAGCTCAAACAGCGCCGCTGCCTCGCGGATGGAGATGGTCGACGGGACCCGGATAGCCCGCAGTGCCTTGACAGGAGGAATAGCCTGGACTTTCTTCGCCTTGGGCGGGTTCTTCTTCCGTTTGCCATCGTCTACGGGGACGTCGTCCTCGGTGTCGAAGAGGCCCCTGCCAGAGACGTCTTCCGATTGTTGACCTTCGGCAACAACCATGTTCTTCCAGATGTTAGCTGGCACCGGCGCGGGTTCCGGCATTGTCACAGTCGGGACCAAATTGTCTTCATATACGGGGGGATCGAATGCTAGCCATCCAGACCAGAGATCGGCTGCATGCATCTCGACCTCCGACACATTCGGATCGAGCTCCTTCGGCACTGACGACATCAATGAGCGGGGGAGTGAGAAACGAATAAAGCGCACGCACTGGGGGCTTCGATCGTGTTCTCCAGATAAGACGCAAGCTGTGTGCTCCGTCGGTACCGCACGGAACGCGGGGAAGGTCCGAACTCGGGGGAGATCTTCAGCGAGTCCGCCAGTTGGTCAGACACAGGGAACAGGGGATCTGTGCGTGTCAGCGCGCCCAAGAACATCCCGCGTGCCTGATACTCGTAAGAGCGAAACAATGATGATTCACACTATGGTGCTCACCAAAGGTTTTTTCCCGCTGGCGTACTCGAGCAAAAGCCGCGGGACACCGAGATGATGCGGCCGAATCATCTTGTATTGCGGATCCCGATATAATGTCGGTCCAGCCAACGCCTGGAAGTTGTCGACCGCAATCAGCACCGGATACTCCGTCTGTTTCCCCAACTCCTCCAGAAGCCTCTCCAGAGCCGCGTGCGCATGTAACCCATCTTCCAGCGACCCGTTCTCTATTAGGGCCGTGAGCGGCTGGCCTTCCCGCACGGTCACCGCCGTTCCCCCATCCGCAGAGAAGGTCGCAGTCGAGCTCATGCGCATATGCGGCAAGAGGTGCGCGTTTGCGCGCCCGATGCGCTGCAGCAGAACCCGTGCGGCGCGTGGCTGGAGATAGGTCTGAGTTGAGAGCGAGTACGAGTACGGCGTGGAGCCGTCGACAAGCGTGCGTGCGCGGGGGACGTAGATGGTGATCCAGGATCGGGATGCCGAGGCGTACTGCGCTGCTTGGAGGAGGAGGAAGGATTTGCCGCTGCCTTCGCGGCCGTTGAGCACCACATGGGCTGGTCGAGTTTTGGACTCCTCGAGCGCGCGCACAAGCGAGAGGGTCGTCGTAGTCGTCACTGAACAGGGGGCACCGAGAATACGGAACTAGAAAGGTTCGCCGCGCTTAGAGGAAGGGAAATGCTGGCAAGCTAGAAAGAGACGCACCTCGAGCAGCATGTGCTTCGGCACTCCGAAGGCACTCATCGGTGCTGTTGGGTCTTTGTCGTCGAATCGCGTCAAGACACCGGTGCCCAGCTCCATAGGGTTCATGAGCGGACGGTCCACCTCCACACGTCCCGGCTCCGTGCTCTCGAACAGCTCATGCCCCAAACTGCTTGCCGGAAGCGCCCGGAAGATCTGTTCACGCCAAGTAAGCAGGGCGTTGCAAGTGCGCTCCAGAGCCAAAAGATGGGGACGCCCGACACCCACCGAAGCAGACTTTTCGCGCATCCGTGCGACAGGCCGGCCATCCTTGTCGCGCTCGACGACGCCCTTTTGCTTGTTCTTGGCGACCTTGTAGCCGAGCTTGTGGTGTATAAGACGTACGGCGCTGGCGTTTCCCGTGCGTGCGAGGGGGACGGCGCGCCCGCGCGAGACGTAGAACATCGCTGAGGGGGAGGATATTTTTTGATGTCGTGATGTGTCTACGAGGTGGCCATCACGCTGAATTGCACGAGTTCGAATCGCACAGGACACTTTTATACACCCTTTTTACTGCATGATACTTAACAGCGCGTCTGAAAGGTTAGAAAACAGATCGAATTTTCTCCTTCTTCCAAGGATACGGCGGTCGAGCTCAAATAAATATTCAGAGCTCGCAGAGTCCTGAATCAATCCATGTGAATCTGACTCTCAGGCCCTCGATCGAGGCCCTGCGCAGCCTGGGAGGTGTTACGTCAGGCAATCAAATGCTCGGGAGGAGGTACTTTCGGTCATTAAAACGCTAGAAAGCCTGAAAGGGGCGTTCTGGTCACCGATAGTATGTCGTGTAATGACCTGTGAACCGTTCTAGTAAGGGCATTCATACAATCCATGCTGCCTCGAGGCCGCGGTGATTTACCAAAGGGGGATAATTAGATACTATTGACGTTGATTATCACATGCGTAAAGTAAGATCTAGGCGAAAAAAGAAAACACATGGCATTCAACGCCCCTTGTCTTGTCCTCCATCGCCTCCACTCTGACTCTGACCTCCTCTTCCTCTTTCTCAACGCCCCAACCCGTTCCGCACACGATGGATCTGGAGATGGAAGATGAGAGCGTACGCATCGCAGTTCGCGCGCTGGGTGCTATGCGCAGCAGTGGTGGTGGGGGTGCCAGCGCCAGCGCCAGCAGCAGCAGCGGCAGCGGCAGTAGTGCACACAAAGGTGCAGGTATGTTCGACACCCATGCCCCTTCCATCTCAGTCCCCTGAATTTTCAAAGGGGAGGCTGCTGCTCATACATCCAATCGGTCAGCCCAGACTCCCAGCTCGAGCACGAGCACGAGCACGAGCCATACCCCAGCACTATCCCTATCCATGTCCAACCGCTCCATGACGACACTCTCATCACCACCCACGCCTCCGCCGACAATGGAAGAGGACGACGATAGCGGCAGCAAGTACCCCTCGTTAGCACGCATGCAGAGCCTGCCCCTTGTTAGTGGTGCACTTAGAGTGTACGAAGCCGGTAAGGCGAACTCTCGGGTTGTGCAGGTGTGCATACGGTTGTTCTGGCGCAAGGATTGCTGACTGAGATTCACCGCAGTATACGTCCGAGCTCGTAAGCTCTTCTCTCCGTCACGCGAGCAGCCGGCTCCCGCTCGGATCTGGAGAACGTATCGATGAATTTGCCGGAGGCGTTCTTGACCGGGTACGTAAACGCACTTCTTTCAGCACTTGGTCTCCCAGGCCCTGCTTTTATCTCTCTCTCTCTTGCGATCGTTCAGAATATCACGGCGCCATGGGTACTTGTGCAGCTTCCACATGTACTCGGGCCTGTAGTGCCAATCTGTCCGTATATCGCTGCCCGTATCTCCCCAATACCGCCTCGCTATTTTCCGCGGTGTCGCTGACGCACGTTCATCGTATTGCAGATCGACAGATACCGCGGTGCAACCCCCGTTCCAGCAACCTCACGCCGCGATAAGGGCTCGGACACACCTGAATCACCCGGAGTAGAACGCGCTGGTAATCCGGGTAAGCGGCGATGGGAAGGACCGGAAGAAGGCGGGGACGTACCACCGTGGATGCAAGGTATGTTTAGATAGATATCTTCCCATGCAACAGGGTCACTGACCATTTCACGTCAAGCGACATCCCCATTCGTGCCGGCGCCTCCGCCTCCGCCTGCTCATCGCGACCGACGGAAGATTGATGTCGACAGTACAAATACGAGTCCGACTTCGAGCAACGCCGGGGAAGAGAGACAAGTGGCGCGGAGAAGCGGCTGGCAGGCAATGCTGCTAGAAGCTGGTGGATTGAGCGCGGCGCTCAGTGATGAGAGCATGCGGAAGTTGCGATATTGCTTGCAGTGGTTACAGGTCAGTCAGGTCCACTCACCGAGTAAGTACAATCAATCCACTGACTTTCACCCTCTCGACAGTATGCGACACAACACATCGACGCCCAGATCCTCATTCTTCGCGATTTCATCGCTTCATTACCGGGCCACCCATCATCAGCTTCTGCTGGGCCTGAAGTCACGGCGGAACATCTCCGCACATTGACGCATCTGCGAACGGACATCGTTCACACCGTCCGACAGGTCGTGAGTGTCGTGTCCAAGTACGCCGGGGGAGCTCTCCCTGAACCGGCCCGCGGCCGCGTGCGCGGATTCATTCTCGATCTGCCCAAGCGATTCAGTGCCGAGGCGCCGAGCGGGGGAGACGCCAGCACAGTAACGGGCGTCAGCCTGACGGGGACGGGGACAGCGGCTCGTCGAGGCGCCCGCCGAGAGCGCGGTTCTGCTGCAGCCGAATCGCCGCGCCCCGTCAGTCCCATCGCATCGCGGCCTGGGAGCCCGCACCTGCATATGCGCCCCGCGCATCACCACGCAGGCCATCACCGCCGGGGCGCATCGAACGGCAGCACGGCCGTCGAGGCTGCGCAAGCCCTGACGGCCGCTCAGCGCGTCCTGGTGCTTGCGACGGAGAGCCTGGATATGATGCGGGGTGTGACGACTGTCGTCAGCGAGAGCTTGGACCGCGCGGACGCGTGCGTGTTTTTCTCCGTTTTGTTTCGTTTCGTGTCCCCTCACGACTGACACCTCCGCAGCTGGGTAGACCGATTGCGCACGGTGGGGATCCAGCGCGGCATGGATGGCCTCAACCTCCCGGACCGGCCCGGCTCCGGTGCGACCCCCGCTTGGGATCGATCTGGGACAGCCAGCCCGGGACCATCTTCCGCCGCAAGCCCGGGGGCGTACTCGAGCGCCCCGAGTCCTGGTATCGGACTGGGCGCCATGAGTCTGGGTTCGAGGTACTCGACGCCCCCTCCCGAAGACGCGGAAGACGACCCATCTCACTCGCGACGCGGCGGGACCCGCATGGACGTCGACCAGGCCAGTGCGTGAGGCCGAGCAGGACGGACGGACTACTACGCATAATCTCTCACTGATGCCCAAACTTATTTACTTGCTATTGCCACTTGTATTTACCCCTTGTGCACATTCCCTCCAGATACACTATCTCCACCGCTAAATAACATTAACACACGCAGATATCGATATGTAGCGACGATATCTCCCGGAATCTGCGGGGCTCCCGCGCCTTTCCGCTTGCGGTCTAGCTGACAGACATGTGATAACCGTTCTTTGGGGACCCACGTCCCCGCACTGGCATGTGATTGCCCAATTCTTTGGGGTCGATGGATACCGCCGCGGGGCACCGTGCGATGAGATGAACGTGGGAGAGCCGCGTGATCTTGACGAAGATATGACGTACTCGTTACCTTCCTTTTTCGGATGGGAGGTGGTTACCCCCCATTTTCCCTACCAACGAGACTAGAGCCTGATCGGTTCGAGCGAATACAGGAATAGGGTGCATACAGTACTTGGGTCATCATCTGCCTGTATCCAGAATCGGTTGCGGCCGTCGCTGGTCACTGGCAGTCCGCATAACCAGCCAGAGGGTCAGAAGTGCTCACGTTTCGGGAGTTGGGGGTGACAGAGGGGCAGTAAACTCCAACAAAGCCGTCTTCTGAATATTACTTTCAATCTGGGAAGGTGGTGTCCAAGGAATGGCTGAGATGGGTCCGAAAGAGCAGATGGCCCCAGGGACAATGACCCCAGTCGTGCATCGACACTCGGCGCGGGATGCGACTAGCATCTCGCATCTCTCCCGTGCTTCAAGCGATCAGTTCCACGATGTAGCGAACGGCATGGGGTCAGTAGGACCTCTGCAGCCTTCGGCTTTGAAAGAGACATATTGTCACTCGTGAGATTTATTTCATCGGCGTCATAGCTCAGCTGGGAGAGCGATAGACTGAAGATCTACAGGTCACGTGTTCAATCCACGTTGATGCCATTCTTTTTTTCTCTTCCGTTAGAACCCGGAATCGAATCTACCCGTACTTCCGCTGAATGCCAACACTACATCCCTCAAATAATACTCGAGCTCAAAATGAGAATGAATATTAGATAGTTGGCAAGCTTGTCAGTAGGTAAGCGGTCCACTCTGCACCGTAATGATGGAATATGAACAATCTGCGAAATCCGTCCCTTGTGCTGTGCCCCTCATCAGACCTGCATCCCATCGAACGACCCAGCCAACCCTGCCACCCCGCCCTTCGGCCCACCGAGACTCTGCGCCGATTTTTTCGGGAGGACCCACGACGGCGTGCTGGGTCCCGCCGCCGCCGGAGCCGGTGTCAGGGTCGGTTCGGGGGACAGTGTAGTCGTGGGCGGCGAAGTGGGCTGTGCAAACACCGGAGAGTTCATCGCCGAGCCCGACCCACCGGCAGCGGCAGAGGAGGATTCGCCACTGCCGCTGCCGCTGCCGATAAATCCTGGATCACTCAGGCTGTAGCCCTGGTACTTGCCCAGCGCGTGCGCAAGCTCGCTCGCTGGTTGCGGCTGGGCTGCGGCGTAGGACACAGGCCGGGCTTGGGCTTGGACTTGGTCCTGGGCGGGGAACGACGCGTACGGGTCCGGGAGGTATGGAATGGGGTCCTCGGCGGGCTCGGGTTCGAGCTTGGGGGCACTCATTTGGCGTTGCGGCTGAGGGTGGGGCTCAGCTTGTGCCTGCGGTTGGGCATACATTTGGGCGGATTGAGCTTCTTGAACTTGCTGCTGCGCCTGGGGCTGGGCTTGAGCTTGAGCCTGGGTTTGGTTCTGAGCCTGAACCTGGAGGGGCTGCACCGGTGGTGCCGTCTCCGGGCCAGTCACTCCCGGCACGCTCACGAAATACACGCTCCCCGCCAGATCTTTCCCACCAGCAGCATAGTATTGCGCCCATGCTTGCACATTCGGGTCCGCATAGGTCGTGCTCGGGTCGTACACATACGGCGGGCCAGCTTGCGCTTGCTGGGGCTGCACCTGAGTCTGTGTCTGCTGTGGCTGGGCCTGCTGCGTTTGCTGTGGCTGGGCCTGAGGCTGAGACTGTTGCGACTGTGCAAGTGCTTGGACCGATTGCTGCTGCTGCTGCTGAGTTTCTTGAGGCTGAGGCTGAGACTGAGGCTGAGGCTGAGATTGCACCGGCTGCTCAGGATACACCGACGCCAAAACACCCTGTGCAGTGTACGGAGATATTGTTTGCGGTTGAGCCTGGGGCTGCGGCTGTGGCTGGGTCTGTTGTGGCTGAGGCTGAGGCTGAGGCTGAGCAGCAGGATACGTCGATGGCTGTGCTTGGGATTGCAACTGGGCTTGAGCAGGATACGCAGACGACGAGGTGGGCGATTGGGCCTGAGCGGCAGGCGTCATCACCGGCTGCTGCTGCTGCTGCGGCTGGCTCTGGTAAACGGGTGTCTGAGGCTGATGCTGCGACTGCTGTTGTTGCTGGGCGGGATATCCCGACGGCTGAGTCTGCGGCTGAGTCTGCGGCTGCTTCTGCACCGGATATGCCGACACTTGAGGCTGCACAGGCGTCGCCGCCTGGCCTTGTCCGGCATACGGCGATGGCTGCTGGCTAGCATACATCTGCGACGGATATCCTTGCGCCGCTTGAGGATATCCCTGCGGCTGGGGCGACGGATACGACTGTTGCTGCTGCTGCTGCTGTGGCTGCTGTTGATACGGTCCCGGCGTCCCAGCCTGTGGAAAGTATCCATAGGGTTGTTGTTGTTGTGGCTGCTGCTGCTGAGCGTACGGAGAAGGAGCACCCGCGAAGCCAGAATGCCGCGCGAGGCTATCTTCCATCATCCGATCAAAGATCGTCCGTGCGCGCACAAACGTCTCGTTCATCGAAACAAGGTCCGCTGCATCAATCTCAGTCTCGATCCGAGGAGCAAAGTGGAAGAACCGCACCCCGTTTCTGGCTGTACTTGTCAATCAACTTGACAATCTTCGGCCGCAGCGCCATACAGCTCCGATACAGCTCCTGCAGCTCCTCGTCGTCCGCCAGATTGTCGCCCTTGCTCGGATCCAGGGCCCTGAGCATGTTCAGCAGTTTCTCCACATTCACCGCCTGCGCAAACACGCTGGCTTCGGCTGCAGCTTCTGACGCCAGCTCGGAGGGCGTCGGTTCGGGTAGCGCTTCGACGTAATTAACGGGGAAGATGCCCGTGCGGCCCTTGAGCTGTCCGCGCCACCAATCACGGTAGCCCCGATCCACGACCTTGATGATGTCGCCCTTTTCGAACGGCAGCTCCCCCGGCTCCGTGGGCGCGAACGGGTGCAGCGCCCGGACGCGCGTGACAATGCTGCTCGGGTCAGTGAGCGAGGGAGTCGTCGACGTCGCCGTTGGCGTGGCCGTTGCCGTCGTCGCGGTCGCTGTCGTCGCTGTCGAGGCGGCCGCTGGCGCACCTATGGCAGTAGCAGTTGGGCTGATGGAGCGGGTAGAATTTGACGCCGAAGCTGCGGAATACCCCGTCGCCGCCGCAGCCGCCGAATATCCAGCTGCAGCCGAGTATCCCGACCCTGGCCCTGGGCTAGAACCGTAGCCGTTGACGGCACTCGACGATGCCCCGCTTCCGCTGGCGCCTGCACCCGTGTTCGTGTTGTTGCTTGTGTTCGCATTGCTGCTGCTGCCCCACTGCCGGCCGCCGCGGTCGTTCATGCTCAGCTCGAGCACCCGCTGGAGCTCCTCCTCCTCGCGCCGCCGCACGGCGTCGTCGACCGCAGGAGGCGGCGCCGTCTCGGGCTCCACATACCGGTAATCTGAGTTCCGTCAGCGCAGTCGGCAGGCATATCGAGCACTTCGATAAACGCACTCTTCGCTTTGAGATTCTCGTAGCATTCCTGCATGATTCCCAGCGTGCTGTCGTGCGCGAACTCTTCTGCCCACTGTGCGACGAGCTGCAGCGCGCGGGTGCGGACCTTCTCGTGTGTATTCTGCGAGCCAGTGAGCGAATCAATGGAGTGAGAAAGGCAGCTATCGCCTCACCCGATCAGTGACGACGCGCTCGAGCCCAGCCGTCCACGCCCGCCCGGCAAGCTCGCGCCAGACCTCAATCCCGCAGTTCTTCTGGAGCGCCTCGGCGAGCGCGAGCGTGTAGAGCTGCACGTTGGGGTTCCGGTGCGTCAGGCGCTTGAGGAGGGAGGCGATGACGAGCTGCGCGCCGGTCGAGGGCGGGGATGCGGAGGAGACGGTGTCGCAGAGCGAGAGGATGAGGTCCCAGGGCTCTGAGGTCAGCGTCTCGGCCGTTGCGTTGGCTGCGTGGGTTTTTTGTTAGATAGGCAAATGCATTGGAGCCGGGGCAAGAGAGGGAGCCAGGAATGGAGTGAGGGGAGTCAGGATGGAGAGCAGGATGAGAGAGGGCGGAGAACGAGTGACTGCTGCAGCGATGACCACTCACTGACGGTCTCATCGTATGGATTCGTCGCGGCGCCCCCAAACATGGCAACAGTCGAAGTAGTTAGAGAGATGGGTAGCCGAAGGGATAGTTTTGGTACAAGCAATCAGAGTGGGTGATATGCCCAATGGACCCTTCGACTCCCACTGATGGATACAGATGAGGGATACAGACGAGGCTCGCTGCGCCGGATCGGCTCGATTCCGAGGCTGTGGACGTCACAATCGTCACATCGTCACTCTTGACCCACACGGCGGTTGCCCAATCCACTCTCATCTCACATCCACATCCATCCACAATCCAATGGCCAAGGGTATGTCAGCTTTTCGAGTTTACCATCGCGCGCGTCTGCGCTTTCTCGTAGTAGCCTCGCGCCGCGTCCTCTCTTTGGATCTCAACGCAAAGACTGATTGGCTGACTGCACCGATCTACAGTCCCACGCAACTTCCGCCTGCTGGAGGAGCTCGAGAAGGGCGAGAAAGGCATCGGCGATGGGTCGTGTTCGTATGGGCTCGAGGATGGCGACGACATCATGATGAGCCACTGGAACGGGACGATCATCGGTCCGGGGCATGTGCGTTCTGTGCTGTACCGCGCGAGGCGCTGTCGAACCGCCGCTGACCCTGACCTCCTTCTCCCGCTGCCCGCCAACAGACGGTGCACGAGAACCGCATCTACTCCCTCAAGATCACGTGTGGCGAGAGCTATCCGGAGGCGCCGCCGACCGTGCAGGTGTGTGTTTGTCCCGGCTGCTTGTCTTCGATCGTGTACGAACTTCGAAGCCTGATTCGCGCGCGCCAGTTCCTCTCCCGCGTGAACCTGCCCTTCGTCTCGCAGACCGACGGTGTC